AGCTACTAGTTAACAAGGGCATCGCTACTAGGAGCAAGGACGCTACTGTTAACTTGCGCGGGGGTGGGCCTTCATGTGCATAAGCGTTTCAACGTCATTTTGTGGCCCCCCAGAAACCACGGTACAATAATTAAGTGAAAACCATGGGTTTAGACGGGTGCGACGGTGCGACCTACTACCTACTACCCCTACTACCTACTACCTACTATCTACTACCTACTATCTACTACCACTACTGCGACTGCTACTCGTGCCACTGCTACTGCGACTGCTACTACTACCACCGCCACGACGACGACGACTAGTGCTGCTACTACTACCTTACTACCACTACTGCGACGACGATGACTGACCGCGCGACTGCGCTCCAAGACTACACAAACCTGGACAGCCTCCGCCCCGCCAGCTGATGCACTTGACTCTGTCGCGGTTTTGCAACCCGGATGAGAATGAGGATGATGATGAGTAGGAGGAGGAAGAGGAGGAGCGTGCTCTAATGTAACATGCATCCCATTGATGGCCCGGAGTTCAGGAGCAGGAGGTTTTAAAGAGGAGTACGAGGACACAATGAGGATTGGCAGCGTGGGCGTGGGCCGAATGTAGATCTAGCTTCTGCTTAACAGCTTAACTAACCAGTTCAACGCGTTCGAGCAGGAGGTAGGAGGATCATGAGGATCGGCGGGGCATGCCTAGCACGCGTTTCACTACTACACTACCTTTCCCTTTATCTACCCCAACTAGCGCTGCAAATAGAAGATCATCAAAGACCGACCCAAAACGTTGCTTTGTGACACCCTTGTGATATCAACAGGTTGCCTAGGGCGGCACTGCACTGCACTGCACCATAAAAAAAAAATCACATAAATTATCGTACTCTGAACTCAGACTCTGGGCCTACCTCTGCAAAGATTTGTTGACAACATGAGGATGGGAGGGGCACCAGAACTGTCAAAGTAAAGTTCCCTGGCCGCAACGGTCGCAATGGCAATCTTCAGGTTTAGAGCCTGGCCTTTTGGATACCAAAATGTCAAGAGCCACAGCCAACCAACCAACCCCCACCTAAAGTCACCCGGAATCCAACCTCAGTGAGGTTACCAACAGCAAACAGGTGACAGGCTGTGCGAGGCCATGGTAGCCGTGAATGATGCCTTCTAAGGACCTTGGGGATTCCTATGAGTTTTATGTCTTAATATCTCAAGTCTCAACTACAGTAATATCTTTGTGGCACTGGCACCCCCTAAACTGCGCGGATTGCGTGAAAACCAGCGGGTCAGGTTGGTTGGTCACCACCACTACTCCCACTACTACTGCTACTACTACTGCTGCTGCTGCTACTACTACTGCTACTACTGCTACTACCACCACCACCACTACTACTACTACTACCACCACTACCACACTATCTAACGGGACATGAATGCATGCAGTCCCAGAGAGTGATGGGATGGGTTTGGAATGAGTGTCCAGTGTGTTCAAACTGTTTTTTCTCGCAAAGATGTTGTCAGCTCCGTTCCCTCAATGATTTGCTCGGACAGGCGCCGGCAATGGGAAACGTCACTTTTCAATTTCAATTATGAAACTATCCAACACCAAAAACTATACTCACCCGTCACTACCCAGTGGCTATGAGTTGCCAAGCCAATTCCCAGTCATGGCATGCATGATGGCCATTCCCTCTTCAGTGGAAAACCATATGCCAAAAGAAACGAGACTTTCAAAGATTTAGGACACCACTGCCGTGCCACAGCCACAGTCTCACACGTGACGGGTGGGTGAAATGGGCGAAGCGCTCAAAGCCATTTCGCAAATCCGTGCTGCCGTGAAAGAGATTGCAAATGCCAAACAGACAGTTCAAGCGGAGATCGCGCTTGCTGCATTGGCTTCTATCCTAGATTCCGGGAGCGTTGATGGACCACCACCACAGAAGCGGCGACGGGGCAATCAATGCAAGGCGTGCTGGCTGGGAACAAAATGACGGGGACAGGACACGGCGGACAGGAGCATGACCGGACCGGCACCCGGGATTAAGTTTCTGAAGGGAATGCAGCCATGTGGGACCGGGCTGGTAATAGCATTGCTAGCTACTAGCTAGTATGAAATTCCGCTGCAGACGGTGTATGAGCTATGTCCTGTGGATGGATCTAGAACGTGACCACGGCAGTGAGCTATGTGGAGTTGAATTTTGTGCCACTGTCACGTCATGCCCAGGAGATCAACATCCATGAGGACCAAAACATGAGCGGAAAGCTCTACAGTTTGCAAAGCTTACTGGAGTCGCTGCTTGCCTCCAGGATGCTCAAACACAGTGCCATTTGGTCTTGAGGCAGTTGAAAACCTTTGACTGGGTGACCGGGTGACACTAGGTGACTAGGTTTTTCTTAATCTGACGGTCGCAGGTCCAGGCCCAGGTACTACTTCAACAATAGTTCAATAGACCAGTAAACCATAGATGGACCAATCGTTTGACTGGCTCGGGCTTGTGTGGCTTTACTAGCTTCGAGCAAGTCCGGCGTTTAAGTGCCATGCTGCAAGCTGTGTGGTAAACGCAGCTTGGTCTCCAAGCTTTTAGCACGACACGACACGACGGTCAAAAGGCTTCTGCAATATCTAAGGCGATGCTGCCTGAAAGTCTTGTTCGCAGCTGTGCTATCATCCTTGGACCAGAATCTGCAGAGCTATTGAAGACGCAACTGCAGCTCAAAAATATGACGGTTCCACATGAATCCACAATTTCACGATTCAGATTGAGATTGGATGTGACTCGACTTCTCTGTATGATTGAGAAATTGGGATGGGACAGTGGCACAGGGAACAGGGCCGAGTCAGTCAAGGAAGTCCAAGCCTGAACTGGCTGACTGACCAACAGACCTTGACGACGACCGTCCGACGACGTCGACCCCTATATTTTGGGTGCGGTGCAGCTATTGGATCTAAAATAAGACCCGAACTAACGGTTCGAACGCTAGGTGAATGATGCACTCTACCCTGACTACTACCCACCCACCCTCAATTCGCAATCGGATGATGAGGGAAGCTGAGGGACAGCGTATGTCGGCTGCATCAAGCGGCAACTGCGACGCTTAAGCGCAATTACTGGGAACTTGTTTCAGCGCTACTTTCCGCGATCCTGTCGAGGATGAGATGAGGGATGAGGACGGATTGAGGGAACCCAGCAAGCCATAGCAAGCCCACGCGTGCCATGTAGTATCGTGGGTAATCCTCCTTGGCCCTATAGTAAGTGTAGTAGCAAAGTAGCAAACATATGGAATAGAATAGAATACGCAGTAGCAGGACGGATTGGTTAAACAGCCTTCTGCGAGCACTAGCGAGCACGCGATCCCACACCAACCTAGTTAGGGTCGAATTTATGGTGAGGCAGTCCAGGCAGTCAGTGGCAAGTGCAGTGGCGTGGTTCAATTTTAGATAGAATATTGAATAGGACGTCGGACTAGGATATATAAATACCACGGCTGCGGCTTACCACGGTTCCAATTCCGATTACCATCATAACGCGTTGGCCACGGACTCATCACGACGACTCTTGGTTTGATGTTCGGTGTGATGACTAATGACTGATGACATTAATGATGCTTAGGTGATGTTGATGCTCAACAGGCGTCAAACATACATTGCAGATCGGAACGCAGGGAATCCGAGCTTTTACTTCCTATCCGCAGATTCCAGCATGCAACGTGGCCATGACTATATGATGACATTGGAGGATAGCATTAGGATGAACGATGCCACCACGCTTCTGGAACTGGGAAAGGACTTTGATTGGAACACGTTCAACGCGGCAGGGCTTCTTTGCACCACGGCCCTTCCTACTGGCCTGGTAGGTGCAGGCAACTCAGCCTTACCCGGAAAATTTGAAGCATTTGTGGAGTCATTGAAGCTGGACATTGGGCTGCCGAACATGAGAGACTACGGGCGGCGAGTCATATCTTTTGTCGCAGATTATGGGACGGAAGCCAAATTCTTGGATGCATTTTGGCCAGATTGGCAACATGTTCAACCCAAACGTAGATTGACCACCACCCCTACCACCACAACACACGCCAGATCCCAGATCTAGTCCTTCTCATTCCTGCCACTAGGAAGTACTACCACCACCACCACCATCACCACCACCACCACCACCACCAAGGTCCCAGAAGTTGATGTAAACAGAATGGCGAAGCAAGCAGTTCAACACAGCAAAGGCAACTTGTCGCAGCAGGTCAGCAGTTGCGTTTTAGTTTTATCAATTTGACTGAAAGGGAAGCTGGCCTGACTTTGTGTTTGGTTGCATCGGGTCACCGGGTCTCTGGTTTCTCTGATTATTGATTCATCTCCAATGCACTTGTGGTACTCTTCTACTTCGGTCGGTCACGTCACCTTGATCTTGATCAGGGCCAGGGCAAGGGATTTTGGTTTGGCAGTGGGGCAGCTCCGAAAACGCTCAGGAATGTTGCAGCTTGTGGAAGCGGATGATCCGGATGACTATGATATCAGTGAGCCCCTACTCTTCCACCTGCCAAACTGTTTGTGGGTGCCAGGCCCCAAGCACCTGATCGACAATATCATTGGGGATGTCCTAGAGCGTCTGGAGGCTTTCAACGAATTCCAGTCTTCTTTGAAAGCCTGCACTGAAACTTGGCGATGGTGCTGGCAGGGGGCTTTGTTCATTGGAATTGGTCCATTGGAATCCGTTGACATGGGTCCTGGTCAATCATCGGAAAGGTCAAGTCAATTCAAGTCAGTTTTACTTTCTTGTGGGGTCGACGGTCAAAGCCAGCGTGTTTGTGATTCTTTACGGCATCGCAACTTGTAGCGCTTGACCCAGGACATGTTACACACCCAACACTACAGGGACAGAATTCGTGCCACCATCTTTTCTGACTCAGAGTATTCGACGTTGTTCAAAGGCTTTGAG